AGGTCTTGGACTAGTTAAATCTCTGGGAGCATGGGGAGTTGAGCAGGACCCTCAATAGAAGGCCCATGTTTCAAGAGGTACCCAAGAGCTCCTGGGTGAGAGGCTGTGGAAATGGTTCTCCTCGATTTGCCACCAACACCCATTGTGAAGAACCACCAGAGGCTAAGAGAAGAGTAAATAAAAAAAAAAAAAAAACTTTCCCATCTGTAGAGCACAAGTTGAGCAGTGCTGGACGCAATACTGATGGGGGCAAGGGAAGGAAGTGCTGTGATCACAGGTAAAAGATGAGGCAGAAGCCAGGTATGAAGCAGAGAGTGAAAATGCCTTTATGAAAAATGGAACATTGTCACAAAAGTTCAGCTCCCACTAAAGCATCTAATTGAAACATCCAGATTTTTAAGATATTTTCATGTGATTTGGATAATCTGGCAACTTACCTGAATGGGAACAGTTGGATTCTGAGTTAACCTGGCTGGTCAACTTCTGAGTTGGTTTCTTGACAGTTCACTCCTTATCTGCTCACCCCCAGCAGCCTGCCTAGAGCAGAGGCTCTTCAGGCTGCAGCAGCCCATTTAGAAGACTGTCCAAGAGACTGGGTTCCCTGAGCTCCTAAATTTAGTGGCTCAGTTCTTCAGAGACCTTGGACTGGAAATTTTCCAAAACAAAAATTTTGGAAATCTGAGATTTTTTCCCCCCCATGGAACAGAAACCTCAGGATGCTGAACAGCAACTTTCTCCAAGTCCTGATTTGCAAGGTCTGTGCCAGGACAGAGCACCCTCATCCCTCCTAAGTAACAACTGAAGCTAAAGCTTTAAGCTAGATCCAGTAAGGGACTCAGACACCTATAAGTTAGATGCAGAACTTTCAAATGTCTGGCTCCTGGAGCAGAACTCCTGTGTTAGCCGCTATGGCTGCATCAACGTGAGCGCACACATGAATTTTGAGGTATCTCAAAGGCTTGAGGCACCACAAAAATGCACCCTGCGTATGTGATTTGGTTTAAATACTGAGAAATTCTGGTGTATAAGTGAACAGAAATAAAGTGGGGTGGAGTACATGGAAGCAGCATGTGCTGCCCAAAACATACGCACACCACCACCACTGGAGCCTCAGGAGGACCACAGATAATGCTGCTGGGGCCAGCCCAGGTGCTGGCCCCAGCTTCCTCTACCCCACCAGGAGCATGTTCCCCTTTGCTAACCCCGCATGCAGGGGTGTGCACCGGGGCAAAAAGCAGCAGCATGAATTTGTGCCACTGTTTTTTTTCCCTGCAGCAACCACATGCCCCTGCTTGTGGAGACGTGGCCTATGGGGCCACATATGCTCCCTATACAATGCATGGAGGAGAATCAGGTGCTGGCTGTTTCAGATCCCATTCAAAGCAGGAAGCTGCCTAGAACCAGGCAACACAAAACACTGGGGACAAAGATGTGTCTTAATCCCAGCCCTCTCTGGAAGGTAGGCACCTACAACCCTTTCTTTCAAAGAAATGGGCAAGGGTCATGGTTACCCCCTTCTTTTAACAAGTAGTGGGGAAACTTTTTGGCAGTTGTGCCACTACTTAAGCATCCCCATGCCCCCCACCCCGTACCACTCTGATCCCCCCAGAAATACAAGGGAAAAGTTACCAGTATTATACAAGAGTCATTCTTGTTATGCCCTTTATGGAATCCATAGTTATACATATTACACTGACCAAATGGCAGCTCATAGAACCAGGAAAGTTAAGACACTAAACAAATCCTTTCTCTGCCAATATTCCAGGCTAATGTTTAACTGAATATGCTATAAATTTAGCAATGTGTCATTTTAAAGAGTAGACCTCAGCCAAGTAAATCAGTCAATGTTACTCAGATGTTACTTCCATGGCCAGAATACTTCCTCAGGTAGTCAAAAGTTTACATCTTAAATAAACAAACTGTTCTTGATTGTTATTAGCCCCCACCTCTCTGTCCCCATTATCTGACAAAAAAAAAAATCAAATAATCACCAAGACAGTTAGAACAATGCGTATCAAATTGAAAAGCTCTTGAATCTAATGATAAAAAACTCAAACTAAGTTATTAAAAGTTTTACTGCCTCCAAAAAATTACACATATTTGAAATGAGGATAAAATCTAGCAAATAAGTCAAACCTTATTTACTTTAAAGGAATTACACTTGTTATTTATTAGGTTACCAGATGTCCTGACCAGATGGACCTGCTTAGTGCTTGGATAGGAAACTTCCAAGAAACACCTATACAGGATAGGAAGCTGGGTTATACACAAAGTTTATTCAAAGCTGGAGGGAGTCTTCCCTGTTGGTCACTAACTTTCTATAATACTAGGGGGCACTGTTTTGCTCTAGGTTTCATCTTGCAATAGATATGTAAAATAGCTACCTGTAATCACCAAAAATTCAATGGGATATTTTTTCCATAATAAGGGTGCTAGCCCTATGCTCTTGGTAGTTTCCAATAGAAATTCTCTGTGTATTTTAATTCAAATACCATACTCTTTCCTTTTAGTCCCCATACTAGTGTGTATTTTTTCTTTGCACTGCTACTTTGAAGTCTGTCACCTTCCACACACAAGTGTTCAGTTACCACTACACAGCTGCAGAAATCTGTTCATAGCAATATTTCCATAGCCACTTGTAAAATGTGATAATTTTACTAGATGAAGAAAAATCTAGAGTCAGCTATTATTGTTAACATGTGTTATTATAACAACAAGTATAAGTCTCAAACATTGAAGGCTGTAGGAATACCACAATTTGGTTTAACCCCCCCGCCAACCTTCCACAGCCCAAGGTAAGTTCCAGAAGAGTCTGTTCCAGATCAATGCAACAAGCTACATCTAATGTAGATTTTCTCCTTGTATGCAGTTAGGTGAATGTGATGACGATCTCTCTCCCCTGTGTCTGTCTCTTGCTTTAGTGCAAATCCCTTTTTTCTTCCTCCTAGTGGCCAACAAGGTACCACCATACCTACCCATACTAGTGAGGCAGGAATTTGGGAATATGTACAATAATTGACACTACAAGATGGCTCACGTACTGTGTCCCAAATCCATCCAGCTCTTCAGCTTAATGGAATGATTCGCTCAATATAGGGTTAATGATTCAACAACTATTAACTTCTACTTGATTTGAGACTACTAACAGGGCTGGTCTCTTGACTAGTATTTGCCAACTTTTCAGGATATTCCCAAAAACCTGAGAAACAGCTAAGTCCCACCACAGCTAATATTTCATTCCCTCTCCCTCACTGCTGAGAAACATCATCATTCCCCACTCCCACATGCCCCGGTTAGTTTATTTTAAGATAATGCCAAAAGAAACAATTAATAAGGATTCATAAAAGTTCTCTTTACATACCCTGCTAACTGTTCAAGGTCTTTCCATCCCTCCTCTATCCCCTTTCCTAAAACCTGGAGGAAAACACTGAGATTAGAATAAAATTTGAAGTGCAACTGCCCCAAAGCTCTTGCCTGGTATTTTAAGAATCATGCAACTTTCAGTGCTCTAACAGTTACATCACAGAAAGAGGAAACATAAATGGAAACCTAGAAGAGAACGTATAATTCAGATTGTTTGCCAACCATGAAAATCGGATAAGAACTATGGGGAATTTTTCAACAATCAGTAACAGAGGGTAATGTCATTTCCATACAGGTGCAGAGGATAAAATCAACATTTTCCAACTCTGACTGAACTAAAGGTCAGATAAATTGACTGGGAAATGAATTTCAAGTAGCAACTTTTTAACACATTCTTCACAAAGAAATTCTGGCATGCCCTTAAACAAGAGCAAAGTATCTTTCTTTTCATACTTCTAATGGCAAGGCTAACAGCTATTACAATATTCTTTAGTTCTGAAATAGTTGACATGAGGATGGAGACTGAAGCTCACTGGATTAATACTACCATATGAATGAAATGTTGCAAACAAAACCAAACATGTTTTAACAGTGGACAAGCACAAGTGGACATTGGTAACTCCCTCTTTCTACTCACCTTTACCAAACTGCTAAAAAACACCTGTGATAGCCAGCTGCAGACAAAGGGTTAAAATAAACAAGCAGCTCATACCAGAGTACTTTAGTCTATTATGATTAGTTCGTCAGCATTTACCTGCATTTTGCCAGCCCTTCCAGTGGAAGTATTAGAAGAAATACATCATTAGTCGACTTTATCTTAAATGACCACCATAAACTTGTAAGTGAATACAGCTTCCCCTTTGGATCAAATTGGAGAAAGTATTCATTCAGGCTTATGACCCCCAAGCGCAAAGAAGAATTTTTCCAACTATTTGAGCTGGTCTAATAAAATATATCAGATTTACCCAAAGATCCTTGTCTGCCTTCATTCAGGCTCAAGTCACTTCTCACTAGGAATTAGTTAATTAATTACTATGTACATTTGTTTATTTACTCAGCTGTGAAGTGGTCTCTGTGGGTACACATATGCATAAATTTAGGATTAACCTCATCACTTCTTTATAAACAATATGAGCGGCCTGGTAGCCTGTCGTCCGATCATCTTCTAAACACCACTGCCCAAAAGACACGGCATTGGGGAGGAAGAGAACAGTAACAGCTGATGAGTGTCCTTTACTTTACAACTTAAAAAAAAAAATCTCCATTCATTCCTCTCTGCAGCTTAACTTGGAACATGCTTCTCAATTTGCCCCGACTTCTGTGCTGCTGGGTTAAGTGAAGGATCCAGGAACTGTTTATAAACAATAACATACTCTACTCCTGCATCTGGCAGCAGATACATAAACTATGCTTCAAAGGCAAATGAAGCCTTTTTTGCTGCAGTAAGCACTGTCACCTGCTATGTCTTTTAAACGGATGAGTAAAAGGTAAATTGATGCTGGGTCCTAGGAGCAGTTTGGGGAGTTGAGAGGTGCCAGGTGTTATGATATCAGGAACGTGCAGCTCGGTGGTAGAACCCGTACAGACATGAAGCCCTTAGGAAACGACCCCAAATTCAACCACAGCAAGTCTCTTACCTTGGACCTCTCCTTGACATAGTAGTTGCCCAGCCTGGTGCCACAATACATCCCCAGCCTGTCTATCAGGGACAGGAGGAAGTTGATGGCCTCGCACCCTTCCTCCGTGCCTCCGATCCACTTGATCTGGTCTCCCCTCAAATGCCGCCTGGCGATGCCGTGTCTCTGGCCGGCCAGCTGCCCATCCTGCAGCTCCCCGCTGTAGTGCATCTGCTTCACGCGCTCCAGCACGCAGTCCCCCACCACCTCGCCCAGGAAATTATCCAGGTAGCAGAAGCCGATGTCGTGCAGGCAGGGCACGATGTAGTCCAAGGCGATCTTCTCCAGGTCGGAGATGGGCAGCCCCCGGCACGCGTGCCACACCAGGGCACGCGAGGCCATCTTGCCCGGCACGCGGGCGGCCGCGGAGCCG